TCGTTTGTTTACCGAATTATATGATGGATTTCTTCTGTACACAAATAGCGGCTTTTTCGATCATTTTGCTTGAAAGATTAAGCTTTGCTTTGCTCTTTCGGCGACTATAGCTTCAGGGTTTAGGGTTTTGTGTGTTTTATCCTCTCTTGTATCAAAGGTGATTGATTTGATCTGGTGTTTCGTAACAGGGAAAGAAACCGTAATTGAAATTCAAGATCTCTTGTGGAAATGCCGACTTTACAAGGTTCTCTGCCTCCTGAGCTCGCTAACAATGTGGTTAGGGTCAGTATCATCGGTTCGATTTTTCTTACAATGTCTAGATTAACTTGTGTTTTGTTTTCTTTCCTTGATGCTATTTCACTGATCTTTTTATGGGCAGTTGTACCGAGAATGTCTTCGTAGAGCCAAATTTATTGGTAAGAAGGTGAGATTCTCTCAACTAATTGTAATTCTCTAAGCTTGGAATGTGTACTTGCTTTGTCAGACTCATACATACACTCTATTCCTTTCAATTGGATTGTGTTTGGTATCATTTTAGTCATTTGAAACTACTTCATAGTTTTTTTGGATTCTGATTGAATTTTATCACTGTTCTTTACCCTCGCATATTTTTTTTTTACTTTTAGTCACTTAGTTATTCAGAGCAAAATGCAGAGAGTGTTTTTGCTTTAGAGTCAGGATACTTTGTCTTTGTGTGTTTCTTCTGCGCCCAAGAATTCGTGTCTATCGGTACTACCTTTTAGAGCCGAACTTGAGGTTGTTGCCTTCTGCATATAAGAATGCAGTTTGATTGAGGCCTGAACATTTGTATCGATATGATGCAGCCAGAAAAGTTTAAAACTGATATCTTATCATCACTTCTGTTTTGATTCCACGAGAAAGATTTGGCTTTTCTTCTAAAATTTGATTTCTGGAATAGAGAAGATATAATGGGGAAATGAACTATGTTCTGTTCCTTTGTGTCTTGCAGCAACACAACACTGAGCTTGTGGTAAGTATGGTGAGGCAGCAATTTAAGAAACACATGAATGAGTCAGACCCTGAGAAGATTCAGAAGTTGAAGGATGAGTGAGTTTTCTTTTTCTCCCCAACCTCCATTAATGTTACAACTTGTTCACGGATGCTTATATTGCAAAAAGATGATGTT